ATTATTTACAAATTTTTTAATACCTAATTTGCTTTAAAATATAAAATAAATAAATGTATATATATTATAAATTTTTAATACCTAATTTTTTACGGGTCAGCCCACGAGTTTGCTAGCCCACTAGAAAATGGGTTGGGTTGAATTTTTCAACTCATTTTATCTGACGAGTTGGCCCAACCCAACACGCAAAAATGTCAACCCGCGTGGGCTAGCCCGCAAGTTAACCCATAACCCGTTTGCCCAGTTCAACTCGACCTTGCCCGTTTTCCAGCTTTATATGAGAGTAGCATATTATATTTTCAAACTAGAATTATTTTACATTATTTGTGGAGTCATGTATTATATCAATTAATAAATAATATTTTTAATATTTTATGATTTGTTATAATTATATTTATGATTATACTTCAAATATATTAATAATAGGATAAATAATATGATTTGTTATAATTTTATATTTTATGTTGATATATTGATTAATAATTATGATATATTTATAGTTAATATGATTCATTAAGTCAAATCTTCACATCAGGCTAGATTGATATTACAAGAATTAAAAAAATTAGATCGTCAGCCTATATTTTCCTCTTTTTCTTACAAATTCTAATGAGTTGTACTATTAATATTAATAAATAATGTAGTTTACTATCTATTTTACATTGATATATCATATATGGATTACAATTTAGGATTACAAATAAAATGTCATGATAAAAAAATGATTAAAATATCATTTTAAAATAAAAAATTATATAATAAGATGTTTATTTTTAATTAAATTAAGGCATGTAAATTCTTTATATATTATTATTTTATAACAAGCACTTGTTATTAATATTATTTAATTATAATCCATTTGTTTTGATTAATTAATTAAAAATTAATTAAGTATATAAGATTAATTATCTAAGTCTTCTCCTTTAAAAAATTCTAAATAGAAATTAAATTTTCATTTCAGATGGTTTTAAGGTAAAAATCTTGATTTATTTATTTATATATTTCTTTTCCTTATGAATCACGTTCTTCTATTTTTCCAGCGCATCGCTGACTCAGATCAATAAACAAATCCAAGAGACTACGGCTCGTAATGTTAAACAAAATTTCATTATGTAATTAATTAATTAATTAAATCTTATGAGAAAATTACATTTGTTTACTTCTAGCTAGAAGACAAATAGCAGTATCACAATGCAGTAGCTTTAGGGTTTATATGCTTCAATTATTAGTGGTAAATATAAGTGAATTAATCATTGTTTTTCATTATTAAGTTAATTTCGAAAATGATGTCTATTAACAAAATATTCTCGTAAATATTGGGTCATCGACAAGTCTGAAATTTCCATGTTGAAAACGGATGGTTCCTAACAACCCAGAAATGAAACAGAAAATAATTTCTACTGTCGACTTTCCGTTCCCAGACTGAGCTATTAGTATCACATCAGTTTTTTTTTTTTTTTTTTAATTTTTTAGGGCCTTGTCTACAGCTATCTTCTTCACGATTTTGGATAGGAGCGCTAGCTTGGCATTGATAAACTTTATACAATTTGTAGACGAATAGCTTTCTGGAAGAAAGTGCTGTCATACATACTTCCAGGAAAAGGAGAAAGAGAAGAAGCGGAGGGAAAAGGAGAAGCATTCGTGACGATGGTTCATCAGAACATTCAGAACGATTCAAGAAGAAAGAAGATATTTGTTGAGGAGCAATCTCCTCTGCTAGTCAATGAGAAAGATGTGGGTTCTCAGGGGGCATCTTTTAGTGGGTCAGTGTTCAATTTATCTACCACCATTATTGGGGCTGGAATTATGGCCATACCTGCTGCCATGAAAGTTCTGGGATTGGCTTTGGGAATTATCGCAATAGTCTTTCTTGCGTTGCTCACGGAGACTTCCTTGGAGATTCTGATAAGGTTTAGCAGAGTAGGGAAGGCTGGGACCTATGGAGAGGTGATGCGATATGCCTTTGGAAGTGTTGGAAGATGGGCTTTTCAGATATGCGTTCTTCTTAACAACTTCGGGATTCTCGTCGTCTACATGATCATAATCGGTAATGCATTTTTTTTATTGATGAGTTGTTCTTTAAGTAATTGCATTCCTCCGTTCCCACTTTTCTGGAAATCATACCGTTGCATAGAAGGAGGATACCCAATCCTAGAATAAAGAATATGGGTGATTCTGAGTATTGATAGCAGGTAGTAACTAGATATTCTCAGATCATGAATCTTGTTATCAGTAATACTTGTTCAGATTATTGTTGTACTGTGGCTTCATAGAAGTTGGAGTATTATTTTATATGATTGCAAATGGTTGTACTTTGGCTTCACAGAACTTTGGGATTCTCTAGTATTAGAAATTCCTTTACATAAGTTTTAAGGACTAAACTTGTTTGGATTGGTCTGCTAATTGATTACAAGGTGATGTGCTATCTGGAACATCTTCAAATGGAACTCATCATTCTGGTGTATTGGAAGGATGGTTTGGCGAATATTGGTGGACTGGGCGTACTTTTATTCTCCTGGTGGCAACCGTATTTGTATTTGCTCCTTTGGCATTCTTCAAGCGGATAGGTAATTTCCTTTCTGCTTATTGCGAACCACTCAACCACAACATGGTCTTTTTAAGTCAAACATGATATGTGGTCATTGATTTGTTATTGTCAATAACCTGCAACCTGTTTGTATGCTTGCAGATTCTTTGAAATACACTTCCGCTTTAGCAGTGGCCCTGGCAATTGTATTTATAGTCATAACTGCAGGGATAACATTTATAAAATTGTTTAATGGTAGTATTGCCAGACCCAGGTTGCTTCCTAATGTTACTGATTTTACATCTGCATGGAAGCTCTTTACAGCAACCCCTGTTCTTGTGACAGCATTTGTCTGCCATTACAATGGTATGCCACCTGAATGTAACTTGGAATTTACAAATCTTCAAGTGCTCTTATGGTTGTAAAAATTTTCAAGTTGAAATTCAACAACATATGATAGATTTTGAACTTGAGGTTAAGAGGAAGGATAAAACCAATTTTCCCACTGCTTTTTATTTTGGTTCACATTTTGCTGTCGATCTAAGTCCTAGTAGCAACTAGCACGGGTTTCCTTGCTGAATTTTTTTGACGTCTTGTTGAGATTTGAGATGCATAATCAGCTTAAAAGACATGAACTGTAAAGCACCTTTATTTCAGTGTTAATTGCTTGGGAGTACAGAATATACTCAAATTTATAAATTTCTGTTTGTTTTGTATTTATATTTTTTTATTTACCATTTTGATTATACCAGTGGTTCTTGCTTAATTATGCCTTTTTCTATCAAAAGCCAATTTAAATCTAGACTAATGCTTTATTTGCCTCTCTACTATTACCATCGAACACAAATTACGTTCAGAACTCTCTCTCTCTCTGTCTCTCTGTTTTTCTTTTTTCCTCAATATCATGCCTGCAAGATTATTTATATTCTTCATTGAACAAACAATATCGCCGAGCAATTTTAAGTGCTGGAAGGATGTGATTCATCAAAGTTATGTCTCTTGCAGTGCATACAATAGACAATGAGCTAGCAGACTCTTCCTTGATACAAAAAGTAGTGCGTGCATCTCTGGCCCTATGTTCTAGCATCTATATATTTACGGCCTTATTGGGTTTCTTTTATTTGGTGAATCAACTCTTGATGATGTCCTGGCCAACTTTGATACTGACCTTGGCATCCCTTACGGCAGCCTGTTCAATGACATTGTTCGCATCAGCTATGCTCTTCACCTCATGCTTGTATACCCAGTTATCTTCTTCTCACTGCGCTTCAATTTAGATGATCTACTTTTCCCTTCAGCTAGGTCAATGGATTTGGATAATGTTAGGTTTGTGCTGATCACAAACTGGACTCATCTCTTTTATATATGTGGCGGCAAATTTTATACCTAGCATTTGGGATGCTTTCCAATTCACTGGGGCAACTGCTACTGTTTGCCTAGGGTTCATTTTTCCTGCTGTTATTGCCCTAAGGTAAGATTTTTACGGTTTCTCAAATCTCTTTTTCCCAGTTATCTTGTAATGGTGACCATGTTGTGTTAATGTTATGTGTGAAGCCGTCGCCTAGATATTTATTTTTATGTTAGGGAATTTATGCTTACAAGCATTGTGATCAACCTTATTGGAATCCTTAGAAATAACTATGGTATTTCCTAGGGTGAGCACCAAGGATACTTCCTAGTTGAATGGTTAGAGACTAGTCCCTTTCGAGGCGTAGAGATTATACATCACGCTTCAGCATTTATCAATATTGGTTTGGTGTACTTATCTTTAATATGCCTGACTTCATTGTAGTAATCTTGCCGTATTTTAAGTGCTTCAAACTTCAATGCTGCATCAACTCTCCTACTGATGTCCCTGTTTCTGCCACCTTTCAGGGATCCTAATGGCATTGCAACAAAGAAAGATAAGGTTTTATCTATCGTCATGATTGTGCTGGCTGTGTTCTCAAATGTGGTGGCCATATACAGCAATGCTAATGCTATCTTTACTAAAAATGCTGATCCTCATGAATGATCACTCGTATTGGCTCGGTCAGCGTTGACAGATGAGAACATTTTCTTGGAACAAACATTTTCATGGCCTCTGACCACAAGTGAGTTTTGAGATCAAGAGTTTCCTCATTTGCGGAATCGAACGACAAAGAACTTGTTTGTTTTTCCTTGTATTGTAAGAATTCCATTAAATAAATAATTATATTGCGTGGTTTTTTGGTGCTGTGATTTAACTAATTTCATTTGCATATCGTTTCTTTGGCTTTATGATGTTTATGCAGAACCTTGAATTCTGTGTTCATATTTGCACACTCATGTCAGCAAGACTGAAAGTAAACTAACGTAAAATTATTAAATGAAAACTTCGGAAATGTAGGATACGAAATTGGAATAAATAAAAATTAAGGGACAGATGAAAAGTTCATTCGCTCCCATGGCACGCTTCGTAGTTTCCCAAATATTCTAGATCAATCCAACAAAATGAAAAAGTAAAAATGTTTCTATTGGGGCACATCTCAAGTGAAAAAGTAAAAAAATGTTTCTTTTGGCATTATTATTCTACATGTTAATTTAAATGATGAAACCACAGCTATTTTACAGTTCCTAAGGTATAACGGTACATTCTTCTAAGCCACCCCTTCCCTCTGAGGCAAAACAGAATACAAGAAAAATATATCAAAGACATGTAAAAAGGCAATAAAAAGAATCGTGACAACTCATTTTGGCCTACTCGTTTGCAAGGGCAGTGTAGAATAGATTTGCCTTCTGGAATAAATAGCAAGGCGTCAATCAATCGTCTTGTTTTGCATCTAATCCGAGCAAATTCGCAGACCATTTGTGAAAGTCCATTTGGAGTGCCCTCTGGTGATCTCAAGTTGAATCACCCCTTTTCTTCGTATCCTTCATAAATAGTTAACAAGTAGCATATGTCCAATCGAAAGGACATCTCTTGAAAACATCCAATGCCATGACAATGTATTTACAGAAGATCGTCGGGCTCCAAATTTCGCTCTGCAATTTTCTTTCATGTACATGCCTGTCTTCATGGCCATTGAAATCTGCATTTTTCTTCCATGTACATGCCTGTCTTCACGGCCATTGAAATCTCTCGTGCCCATAGAAGATATAATAAAAATATCATCCTTGGGACTGAACTCCAGGAGGAGGAAGAACAAGAACAGCAAGTTGAGTTTTCAAAAAATCTAGTGAAAAAGTAGGTTGAATTTAGAACCTCTCGTAGATCGAAGTCTCCTCGGGCAGGTAAAGGGGGAAGATTCAACGATGGAAAAGATTTCTGAAAGCCCTCTAACAACTGTAAAGGGGGAAAAAAGGGAAAAACATCATGATTAAACAGGACTCTAAGCCAAAAAGTTAGTATGAGCAACATGCTTAAAAGTAAGACAAGTACTTTTAATATATTTCGTGGAGTAGAGAGTAGCATGATAGGATGACATAATGACATAAAAGATAAACTTCATCCAATTCCAGGGACCATAGAAAGTTCCATAAGCAGTCAACCACTTTCATTTGATATGTAGTCAGCGCTAAGATTTGTTTTTCAGAAGAATAACAGTTAAGTCCCAACAGAGAAAATTAATAACAGTTAAGTCCTTGATAAATTTTTTTTGAAAAATCAGTTGTAAATTTTGATTCAAATAGTTGCAAATTTAGAAGTTTCAACTGCAAATACAATATTTCAATTCTAAATATAACAATTAATTTGCAATTTGGATTCCTGTTTATAAATGTTTGAATTGATATTTGCAATTCATTTTATAGAAAATTTTATCGAGGACCTAACTGTCATTAATTCATTTTTTTGATACTTTACTGTCATTCACCCTTTTTTTAACCCAGCATGCCAGCAAAACAAAGAAATAAATTATTGGATTTGACATTATTTTAGAAAACCAATAGTTCTCACGAGGCACATGTACAATCTCATCAGACTTAAAAACACAACAAATTAAAGAAAATATATTAGCAAGGCAATCCAACATCTGGAGTATGCACTGTTCCAACAAAACGGATTTTACTAAATTGCTTCAAGAATTTGTATGCTCCCTCCCCCCCCCCCCAAAAAAAAAAGTACAGCACCTAATTGTAGGGTATGAAGGAAAGGGGTGGATAGGGATCAAGCTCTTGGGCATTTCCAATTGTAAGCTATGCCATATGCATAGAAGGGCCCTTTGATGTCCTTAAGTTGCACAATAGCAAACAATTCCAAATTTCCAATCATACAAGGAAAACTACTATAACAAGCTCATGCATGAAAGGGTGTCTATTGATTTAATTCAATATGCATGTAAGAAAGATACTCACATTTTCTAGAATCGGAGCCTCATAAAGTTCAACAAATTTTTCCCTCAGTATTTTGTTCATCATATCAACATCACAAGCATGTGTCCAATATGAATCATGTACTCCTGCAATCAAACATTGTTATATAAAATAATAAGCCCCAATTTTAACATAACATAGATGTGCTACAGGAACATTTCCATGCGTGCAAGATGGTAAGGATGTGTCAAAGAGATTAGCATGGACCTGCAAAGTTCAATCCTGCTTTCTTGCAAGCAACCGCAGTCATCATCATATGAGAACCATCAAGAGAATGAACAAAATTTGGAGGGAAAGCAGTTCTCTGCCGCTTTACCATGATCTGCAACATAAAGTACAGGTGAGTTATTTTGCTAGAATTGAAACAATGCTCAAAACTATAATACAGCATTCAAAATAATAAATATATATAGTGACCAATTGAAACCAAAAAGAAGACATATGCAGTGGCTGAGAGAATAGATGCCGTGCTTTTTATATTGCCTTTAAGGGGTGGCAACTGGCAGGCCTTAAATCTTAACAAATAAAAGCAAAACAATAACAACTTAAACAAGTTAAACCAGTAAAAGGTCTGCACAGAGGAAATGGTTAGGGAAACTTAGTTCTTAATGAAAACATGAATCATCTAATTATCATGCATCTTACAACAGCTGGATCATAAATAAATGATTGAATTTTCTGCTTTAGAACAAAATAAAATTATGTTTCAAAGTACAAATGTGAGCCTGTACGCGGTAAGCCAAAGTAAGAAAAATACAGTGGTTACCTTGTCAGTCTCACGTTGTAGTGTTAATATCTGAAGGGTCGTCTTAACCTGCATCACAGCCAATATAAAGAATTGATGATACAGAATGTTGTCAAACACAGCTCATTTCTTTAAATCTAGAAATAACACTAATAAGGACCAAGAATTAAAATTTTAAAATAAAGAATGAAAGATAAAAAAAAAAAAAGGTTTGTTTTTGAAAGTATTACATGATTTCTTCCTAGCTGTCTGTAAGGTTGTACTACAGGAAGCCCAAGAGGACTGATCCACCGTACGGGCTGATTCTCTGAAGCTATCACCTAATCATATTCAACTCTACCATCATTGCAAGGTCAACGCATGTACAAGTATTGTAACATTTACAACAAGAAAAAACACAGTAACATAATGAAGTAGCCTTTAAAAAACTTTAAGCAAAATCATAGTAATCCAATGTGTGTTATAAGCAATTCTCAACTCCATTCAATGTATTTGCAAAATGGGATATTAAAATATACTCTTTTCATCCCAAATTATAAGAAAAGTTACAGGTATATTGTTGTCCCAAAATATAAGACAATTTGAGAAAAATAAGGTTTCATTAATAATACCTTTCCAATATTACCTTTCAAGTGGAGAGAGAATTGAAATGATATTGTAGTGTAATGATTAGGTGCATTGGGGTATTTTTGAAGGTTTATAATTTTTTTTTGTTGCAAAATTTTGTTTTAAAAAAGTAAATTTGTAAAGTGTCACTATTATGTTTTATTAGTATGCACAATCTCTTCCAACTCTGTCTTATAATTGAGATTAAGAGAGCATTAGTTATAACTTGTTGCTAGATATAGATCTTGAATTTTATGAAGTATTTACATCAACAAATTGAACAAATGAATCAAGTGTACTTAGGATCCAATATTATTGATAAATGGAAAATTAAAAGAGAGAATGTGGTTAGTGTATACTGATCTACCAGGTTATATTATTTATAATCGTATGTATAAGACAAGCAATTAATGATGAATAAATACAATCATATCTGCCTACTCATTGCCTAGTCAGCCCTAATCATATACAATCTTATACAATAAATACAATATCAAAACTTATTCTCAACAATTATGTCAAAACTGAAGCAAAATAAGAAAAGCAATGATTATGGGGGACTTCCAGAAAAAGCTCTCTTCCTACCCCAAAACTTACAGTTGATGTAAACCAGCTCAGATACCACATGACATGAGAGGCTACTAAAACAATGTTGGCCGAGATGGATCATGTCCTTAAGGGAGAATAAGTAATAAATTTATTTTTCTTCAGCACTGCATTTGGAAGGAAGCATTGTAGGAACTTTTTATTCCGATACCATGACGTCTGGCTGATACAGGAAAGGAAAAGCTCCCATTCGAAAAAAGATAACTACTATGAAGGCCACCGAAATTTTCTCCTATTACAAATCTAGTTCTGCATGGAACCAAGTTACATATGCACAGCACGCTTCCTAATGGTGCCTGAGTTTGTCACTCTCAAAAACACCTTCTCCCTACACACCCACTAGTACAAAATACCACAACACTAAATGACAGGGTGCACTCCAGAGTCCATTTTCTACCCTTACCCTGCATACATAATCCAAACATATAGACTCGCACAATAACATGGACATTCAAACAATAATGACAATGGGTCCTAAAAGCCACAAATCAAAAACAGTCTTTAGTTTGTTGAGGTACAGAAATTAGTATGACTACGTAAGGAAAAGCATCAAGGGTTACTGGAATGCAGCTTCAAAGTTAAACCAATCCCACCTTCCAAACAGAAGACAACCAAAACATTATTTAAATTTAGTGAAGAAAATCAAACATGAAGACAACTCCGCCTATGTTTATAGCCGTCCCAAGCACGGGTAAAGGAAGAGGGTTGTGTTAGGCCATCAACAGCCAATGTAAAAATTTGTTGAATCTATCATGAACATAATGATAGAGCACAATGGCGTCTTGCAATCCATGTAGCCGACCCCACCTAGTGGGATAAAGGCTTGTTGTTGTTGTTGTTGTAGTGAAGAAAATCAAACAAATTAATAATCAGACCAGGATTGCCACCAGGGGATTTAATAGATGTAACTAGCGCAAATTAGACTTAAACATTTCAGGTAAAAAAAAAAAAAAAACCTAAACATGATCAATTATTTAAAAATATATATGATTGAGCCACATGCCAACTTTCCCCTGCTATCTTCACAAAATAAAAAATACCTTAGCACATTCCCCAAGCCAATTCATGATACTTCTTGCAGCCTCAAACATCTCTTCTAAGGCCACGAGAGTGGTCTGCAAAGCAGTGAATAGTCAACAAAACAAGAAAAGAAATGGATAGATTGTAAACACATGCACCCCCCCTACACCAAATTGACTTCTCTTACTTTTGCTGTATAACAGGCTGCACCAAACATCTCTGCATCATCCTCCATAGCATTACGCTCTTTTAGCCTCCTCTTGATCTGGTCACGGGCACCAATATAAGTCACACCATAAACTGATGTCATCACTGTCTGCTTCACCAATTTCCGGTCCACCTAATGGTGCCAGGTATTCAAAAAACCGTTAGTGATATAAGATTGAGGCTAGGACATAAGTGCTTTTGAATTCCTACAAAGCACTTTCAATTTATAAACTGATGTCAGCAAATCATCAAGCTCATCTACCAATGTTCTAAAAGTTCCTACAATTCTATTTTCAAGTATTTCTCAGAAAACATATAAAAGTAGATTTATTTTAAGAAAGTATAATCACAAGAAACCTGGTTGATCAAACGTCTAGCAAGTATTGCATTTGGATAAGTTTCAGGATCTTTCTCTGAATCCCTTCTCATGATTTCAAGTACTCTGCACCACAAACAAATTTGAATAAATTAAAACAGTAGTTCAGATGACTTTAATATATCAATGCATCAAAATCAATGCGAACAGCACAATTCATCTTTGGATTGATTTTAAGAATTTTCAGTAAGCTGAGCCTCAGTATGGTTGTATAGGTTTGGACAAATAGAATAATTTGACAGCAGATGCAACTGACTCCTTTGTGGAATGGCATTAAGAAATAGATAAACTAATAGTAGGTAAGAAAAGGAGAAAGGAAACTGTGTAATAACTGCTGTAAAGCTGCTAAATATGCCAGCATTTGGCTTTGATGGAGGTCAATCAGAAAGGGCCAGTTGCTTCCCATTATTGATTTTATGATTCAAGCAATGTTTACAAGTTTTGCTCACCCCCTTATATCCTCAAAGTAGTGTTATCTATATTGAACTTCGTTAAATTGAAGGAAAAATTGTAACTGAAGGGTGCCTAGTTATTGTAATTTCTTCATGAACTTGCCCACACAGTTCTCATTACCTTGCAGCAATTCCTGAGTAAACATCAGCAGGCCGGTCTCCACATACGAGATTGACTGCAGCAGCTCCCAACTTCAAAAATAAAAAATGCAGTGTATTGATACTCAGGCAATATCAAAAAGGAAAGGGGAAAAAAGGAGAAAGGGACATGCAGAGAGGAAGTAAGAACACAACTTCATCAAGCCAGTATTTCTGAAACAATCTATCATCATTCAAGAGTCAGCTCGTGCAAGAAGGTAATAATAACACATTGCAGTTTAAATTTAGATTAGTACTATTTTGACGAGTTTCATGCATTTATTCTTAACGGTCCCACTTTTTGCCAGCATGCAATGTACAATATCAATTATGAAAACATATAATCCCCAATAATAGAAAAACATGCATGGGTAGGCGAAATTAAATTTTGTGAAATTGAACTGCTTTAGATGTTGGAAAGTCAGAAACATTGAACCTAAATAACCGCAAAATTTAAATCTATCATGATTTATTAAGCCACCTAGCTTCACAATAATATGCAAGCAAAATCATTTAAGTCTTCAAAAATTCTAGATCAACAGCAATCACCTTCACCAACGACAAACAAGAAACTCAAATATCTTGCTTTCAGCACCAGCTTCAAGAAGGAGCACTTGTTTATTGAACATCAAGAACAATCCAAAAAGGACTTTATCATGTAAAAACTCTCAATCCAATTTCAAACCAAACACCATCATCAACCAAGAAACTCTGCTCACATTAGAGGCTAATAATTATCTTTTAGATCAGCTCCATGGGAAAAAACAGACTTATTAACATTCCACTTTTATATAAGCATTTGTCAACCATTTATAATACCCCCTCACAACAAGCTGTTTTCCCCTCAGCCCAAATTCCAAACAAGCGCAAAAAGCAAGCCAACAAGGCTTCCAGGTAACCAGGAAAATTTAATGTTCACATTACCTTGTCCCTCCCAAGGGCTGCATAGTGTTGTAAGCCATTGCACGAACCATCCTAGGGTAATGACAAAACAAACTATTTTATGAAAAATGTATCAAAACCAAGAAAAGAAATACAAAAGCATGGGCTATGCTCGGAGGTCCTTCAATATCATCATTACCAACATAACAGTAATATATGTAAATGAGAACAATTTTGGTAAGGAGGTTGTTATTGTTGCAACAACTCAAAATGAAAAATATCCATCGAAAGAATGTAGTTGAGTTCTTCCATTAATAGGAATGCAAATAAGACAGTCTGTGCATGCGTTCCCAGAAACCATTTCTGATCTCACAAAAAGATACCTGATGAACAGGCATATGAGATATGGTGGTCTCAGGAGAGTGGCTTCTCAATGCTTCAGATAGATTGATACATGCTGCCAAACACTGAAAAGGATCTTCTGCTTCTAACCACCAACGCCTTCCTTCAAGAGGCCTGTCTGCAGAATCAAATATATCATCCAGATGGTTCTCAACAAATGTGAGTCTACCCTCATAACTCAACTTGTCCACACCACCAGCATACAAATTTGCTAAATGTATTTTCAACCAACGCAAGCCTGACTTTCCTAAAGGGCGGCCCTCAGCAAATTCTAGTATGCCTCGGCATAAATCAGAACCAAGATGGTTCAAATATGGGTGCATGGGATAGGCACGTCCTCGGAAATCAAGATTGTGAGGATAGTAGAAGCCTTCTTCATCCTTCATCTTCTGTGCAACCTGCACTCAGTAATTCGAGACAAACTTAGGGCAAGCATTTGATATAAATCAATCTATTCAAAACAAGAAAAATGCTTCTTACCGCGAGTTTAAGTTCTATGTCACATCGTTGTGAATGCATCTCATTATTCTTCTTTTTGATATCTTTGACTTTCCACTTCCATTTTTGGATTTCTGATTGATCTTCTGTGTCCGGTTCCACTGGGATGGGAACCTTGATGAGGAAAAAGAGAAAAGGAAAGGTCAACTACAAAACTCAGCACTGAAGCAGCATAACTTACAGAAAATGGCACCAAGGAAGCATAGGCAATTTAAGATACATTACCCGCATACAAGGATATGACATTAGTATATGGATGGCAAGTAATCAATGAATTAAATTACCTATAAAAGTATTTTATATATTTCAGGTGGTTTTTTGCCTACCACACGAGTCATATGATAACATATAACAGTATGACTTATTCCTATTCATTAAAATTTTTCCTCATTTTCTTTCATGTTTTTACAAAATATGCTCAATTAATTGTCACTTACATCTTGACGGTCCACCAAATCTGCAACGCCCCCACCATTGGCCCAAATATGATCTATGACACTAAGAACCCTTTTGTTTACCCTCCACTTGGTATTGCCAAGGGTATTTAGAGCCTAGATACAACCAAAAAAATATACCAGCATTAATTTCAGTAGGGTGTCATGACCATAAACTGAAATACTTATCCACAAAGACATGGGAAAAAATGCTACCTCAAAAACAGGTTCTAGTTGTTGCAAGGGAGTCCTTTTAACTGCTTCACGTTGCTGCTTTGCTCCATGTGTTCTCATTACATACGATGGCAAAAACAAGTATGCTCCTTGGTCATACCTACCATCATATTGCAATGTTCCCAAGAAAATGAAAATTAGCAAACTAAAATGCAGCAGTTCGCTGGATGTCACAAGTTGAAGCAGTAGGTCAATAGCATCCCATCAAGAAAGAAATCTTGTAAAATCATAGTGACTGTCAAAGTTTGAGGTGTCAAATTTACTCTAACAATTCACATGCTCCTAAGAAAGTTCTTTGCCATAAACAAGTCCATTCAAATAAGTTAATAGCAGAAATTTCATGAGATCTGAAATAGCTGGGAAAATAATTAAAAAAAATTGACCTTCCTCAGATTTAGCTCCAAAAACATAGATTCCCTCTATATTTTGAATATAGAAGACCTTGCTTATATTTTAAGATGTATTACCACGCTGTCATCGGAACATGAGAGGCTGATCAAGAATAGATTCATTGGTCAAATGCTTGATATATAATGTAGCTAAACATTACTAGTCACTGTTTAAAGAGGTGGAAAGTGAAACCAAACATATCTTTTAGATTTGAAAGACAAGAGATGTCCCAGGATATTTTTAAATAGAGGGAGTTTGAGAATTTAAAGTTACAGGAGGTCAAGGAATTATATTCATAAATCTAACTGCATATTGAATATAGTACCCTGTCCAGTTACGAGGTGGCACCAACATTGGCATGTATGGGATGACCATGTGCCTGGCCTGTTAGTATAAAAACAGTCTGATATTAGCATCAGCCACATTAATTTATGCATGTGAAAGCAGACATAGTATAAGCACAACCACAAAAAGAAGCCTACTAACCAACTAAAAGAAAAGTAACCATGAATTCAAATCAAAATTATATAAAAGGTCACTCACAGATTTCTCAAGGCCCTTTTGGACCAAGGGGTCACATTCAATAACACCATATCTCCTACTGCTCTTCCTATTTGATCAAAAAGAATTCACCACAAACCAAAAGGAAAATAGATTAAATATACCACCAATATTGATTGAATAAAAAACTATTTAACTAAGATGCTGATTCTCACTGTGAATCATTCATGAAATTTCTGAGAGCATGTGTAAATGCAGGGCGTATATCTGGTGGACTATCTCCTACTTGATCCACTGGGGACTGTATGTAGGCTGTTTCTATTAGCAGTTTAATTAAGTGACCTCCAACCTGGAATATACATGAACTGCATTGGAATGTGAAGTGAAGATAGCTCCCATGTTCATATGTACAAAGATTGAAACATCACAAACCTTTACTTGACCTTCCTGCCCCCAAGGCTTTGAAGCATCATGTTTGTTTACTACTGCCATTGCTTTTCGCATCTTCTGTTTTTTCATTAAACTCGCAACTTTCTTCCTTAATTTATCCTGCTCTTTAACCACTTTGTCACTATCTTCAATCACGTTACATTCTCCTGAGGTTGCAGGATCAGATTCACCATCAGGGTTGTCAGCAACAGCCCTCTTCGTCTTCCTGCTCTTTTTTGTATTCAAAAATCTGTATATTCTGGCCTGATCCACATATAATACTAATACTTCAATGAATGAATACTTGACTATCGTGACTTCAAGATAGTGACACCTAACTTGAACAAAAAGCCTGGAAATACTGCACTAAGTGATAATTGGATACTGCATTATTTATCCTTTGACTGACATGAGGAACACAATAAATATGGCAATACGAGGTATCCAAGCATCAACTATATAAATTAGCAACAGATTTTTTTTTTCACGCAATTATAATGGCATTCAAAGCTCAACCAATTATGTGAGAAAGAGATACACTTTTTCCTAACTCAATATACCAAGGGAAACAAGCTAGAAAAATGATTCCAGATTAAAAACTACAATTTTTAAACAGGACAGAAACACTTTTTTTATCTAAAGTACCCTTTGAGTTCAAGTAACTAAGCATTAACAAAGACCAACTTCATTCACAGGTCATAAAACTTCACCAAATGACAGAGTAAATAATCCAAAACGTTTCGAGTTTAGCAAACCTCCTGTTCAACCGCTTCACCAATCTGACAAGCGGCTTGGATTACTCGAGCGCTGCCTATCCCATTACTATTTGTCATCAACAATCCCATCAACTTATGCATAGTAATGACTGCCATCATCTCTGCAGGCAACTCATTAAAATAAGGCGCATGACTGTTCGCGTGGGTGTATTTGCAAGCCTCTTGCTCCGCGGCAATTGCATTCCGCAGAGGTTCAAACCAACCAAGGAACAACGACTTCACATATGGCAAATTGGGTGCAAGCTTCTGCTCACACATGTCTGTCAATAATTCTTGATATTCTTCGGCGGCACGTTCCCATGCCTCTGTCTCCATTTTAACCTGCCTTCTCCGAAGTATTTTATACCTGTAGTTCGCCATACCTGCCAACTCATGCATTGGCTTCTGCAACTGGGGTTGTTCCTTCACTTGTTTTCTCATTTGCCTACACAACTGTTGATTGTCATCGGACCCAGAAAAATCTTCTTCAGTCTCGTCGGACTCAATAACCTCGGCAACACTAGCAAAACCTCTAGCCGACTTTACAGATAAATAAGAACCCAAGGGGTCTTCAGAAGGCTGAAAATTGGGAATTCTCATTTCAGGTTTCGAAGTAAATAGACCAACTTGATAAAACCCAATATCTGGGAATCTCGAGTTCACCGGCGTTTGTGTTTCGGAAGGGCTCGTCCTCTCGATAAAATTCAAGCCTCCGGAAAACTTCATGTAACTTAACGAAGGCGAGTAAGAGAATTCAGGGGATAGTTTAAACTTCCTCAGGGAAGTTCGCTTGACTACGTTCGCCCACATCTCTCAGTGGAATCTACGATTAACAGAACAATCCGGGGAGAATGACTTGAGTTATGGCTGAGAGATACAAAGAAATGCTGAGTTGATCCACATCGAATTCCTGAAATTTCTCCAAGGAGTGAACGGGGCCGGAAGCAAAAAGAGAGATGAGTGATATTTAGATTGAAAGCTAATGAGAATGAAGAAATGGCGATAATTAAAGGACCTTGAGCGGGCAAAGAAGAGAAGGCAAAGCCGCCTCTAGCCTAAGCCCTTCATAAACCTACGCTTTCATGCTTCAAGTAGACGAGCGCACAACTGAAGCAAGTAGAAACCGGTTCCGGGTCTGATCCGAAAAGTCTTTCCAGGGCATGATGACATGGCAAGTGACGTGTCCAGATTGATGACATGGCAAGCGACGTGCCTAGATTGATGACATGTGTCGCCCATCCATAGTCGGATTGCGTTCGGTTTCCTTTTACCAAGAATCAATTCTTTAAAAATTCATTTAATAAAAATCGATTATTATAATAAAATTTTTACTTAGATTTTTTTTTCAAAAATTAATTTAATAAACTAAAAATTATTTAGATGATATATAATAAAAATACTTTTAAATATATAATTATTGAAAACAATATTAATTTTATGATATGTAATTTTTGATATATAAATACGATATGCATTTAAAATATTTAGAAAACATATATAATAAAAATTTTAAATAACATAAAATTTGATAAGGTGAATAATAGATATAATAAAATAATGTATAAATAATATGAAATTCATTACCAAAAAATAAATAATATAAAATTTTTTATGTTGAGTAATGAAAATAAATACTTCAATTTTTATAAAAAATTTAAAGTTTGAATGTTGTATAAAAAAAATATAAAATTATAAATACTTCTATATACATTCAAAAGAAAATTTAACATGAAAAATTGATTTAGGGGTAAAATGGGAATAAAGGTGTTTAGAAATTTAACAAGCAATTTCAAAAGTTAAAAGTTGAATCCAAAAATAACTTCAAAGAGCTTTCTTCAAATAGACTGCAAGTTGCCACAGTCCAAAAAGGCGAATTAACCCTTAACAAAAAAATAACTGCTAGGATTCAGGAAAAAGCACATATAGATATCCACATGTATACACTCGCTCCAATCCAAATTGTATGACATGTTTTCAGCTAAGTTTGTCTTGAAATTTTTTTAAAAATTATTTTTTTTTCAAATTCATCCATGCAATAATTAATGTGGGCATTAAAAATATAATTTTACTAAACATTCATTCTCACTCCTTATAATAAAAGCGTTAAAAATTTAGAATTTTCTCTAAATATGTAAAGGACAAGATGGATAAACAGCTCTGGAATTGGAAAGCAAACACCCCATCCAATGGCAGCTGGAAACGCATTGGTGACTACAGTAGCAGCAGTAATTCCATCTCATGTCATGCAGACGACTCTATTGCCCACACCTACTTGTCGTGAAATTGATCAGAAATGTCTTTCGTTTGAATAAGAGAGCGCATTTAGTGTGTTAATTTGTCCAGCATTAATCTAGTAAGCATGTTGGGCAAGTGGAAGGTTGTAGGGGAATCACTAGGAATCATAAAAGCTCAACCTGGTTCAACTTTAAAAACCCTTCATTTCATCGCCTTTATCCTGAATTTTGCTTCACTGCATATCTTACCCACAAGAAACAGGTTTGCGCTCAACACTCCGGACCAGAGCTTCGAGGCAAATTTTGAAAGGTATTTTTGTCAATATACCACGCCTTACAAGGCCAGAGCCCAGAATCATATCACCATTCCCGTTCTTTTAAAAGGAATGGGCTTTCATATGTAATCATGCCAGCTCCAGCCAAATGGACAAACTGGTAAACTCGTGCCTCTTTACCCGTTCCTGAATCTTGATCATTATTGTAACCAATCCTAAGGTAGAGAACCTTCTATGACCTGTATATTGCTTACTTTGGTCCAATCAAGGTAACAAAAGTGCATCAACAAGAGACTCTCGGAAAAAGCCATATCGCATATATTCCTTGACGGAATTTACAATTCCCGGGAACAAAAATCTGTAAGCACACTATCCCAGTCTTTTTTTTTTTTGGTTTTAACTTGTCCATTATTATTGATTTCCTCAAACAATACTCCAGCCAAAAATTTGTTGATGCACCTAATCGGTTGTCCAAGGATCATTCTCATTCTCATGTCTCACTTCAAAAGGCTCGACAACTTCAGCCTCTACCGATTCGCCTGTGCTCACATCAGCTTCAACAGATGCTTCTGTCCCTGTCTCCTCATCTGATCTACCCCATCTTCCTCCCAAGGCCAGCGCCATCATTTCATAAATCTTATTTCCCAACTCAGCTGGGCTGTCAGGCTGCACCATTTAGAGAAATAATGTTAGTAAACTGCCAATCTCTCAGTAACAAAGGCAAAGAAAAACAGCAGCTAAATTGTCGGTACCGAAAATCCACTGGAGATCAATGCAGTGTCATATAAGAGGTCAACGGCTCTCTTGGCATCACTGCTGTCAGGTGCATTCCTGCAGGCAGCCTGAGAGGGGAAAAAGAGTACAAAAATAGTCAACAAGACATGTCAAGGCCACGAATAAATTCAGTTATAAATTAACAGCATTGCCTTAAATGGTCTTACATTCAAGTCTTTGATAATGGGATGATCTGGATTAACCTCCAATATTCTCCTGCCCCTCATGAACTCCAAACTAGCAGTGTCTCCAAGAGCTTGTGCCTTCATCAATCTGCCAGAAAGGGAATGACATATGGCATGAGCATGGCAATACAAAAGTACATGATGAAGTGCTTGAGATCATGGAACATGTCCTGGCTTGAAAAGCCACAGATGGAATGAGCAACCTCTCCATATTTGCAGACCATCCGAACTTGCCAGATACAAGCACACAGGGAGATGAACTCAAACGCTTCGAGACCTGAACTTTTGCCACCTTATCACCAAGCTGTTGTTTTATCCAATCACAAAGCAGATTGTATTCTTGCTTTGTTTCCCTCTCTTTCACCTCATCCTCATCACCTGATTTCAAAAACATTAGATTGGATGTGTATCACTAACCAAATATCCATTCACAGGGAGTGAAATAGCACTCCACGTAGAAAATCGCACATACCCAGTTCTAGATCTTCCTTGCTGATATCAACAAATTTCTTTTCCTTGTATGTCTGAAGGTTCTGAATGGCAACCTCATCAATCGGTTCAATCAAATAAAGAACCTACAAAAAGAGAGGCCCAGCACATATTAAAGAGTAAACAAACTGAAAGCTGAAGAGCAGAGTACGAATCTAAAGCTAATATCAATTACATTCAACTTTATATATCAAGCATAGAATGCAAGCATAATGTACCTCAATATCTTTCTGTACTAATTTCTCCAGAAACGGAGCAGTCTTGGCACTTTTCAAGCTGTCTGTTGCCAGGTAATAGATAGCCTTCTGGTTTTCACCCATGTTTTCAACATAATCATCTAAGCTTTTCAGCTCCTCCTCACTTTTCGAAGTGTAAAATCGCAACAGTGGTGTTATGCGCTTATGATTTCCAGAGTCTTCAACACATCCTAACTTGAGGAATCTACCAAAGTTCTCCCAAAATTTCTTGTAGTCCTGGAATCACAAGCCATCACATCAATTGTAAAGGATTCTCACTTCATACTGAAAATTAGATAATGGAGTTTATGGCAGCCAACCTCTTTGTTTTCGCCATCAGCGATATCTTGAATCATGTCAAATGTCTTCCTAACGAGTCTTTTTCTCATTATTCTTACCTGAAATTATAATTTATTGGAACTAAACATTTTAGAAACCAGGGAAAATGCATAGATGTTGTCTCATCATTAAGGAAATCCTTCCTTCAGGTTCAAATTATGGAAAGAGTCTGAAGTCCAAAGAAAAATAAAAAGAATTCTTACAATTCTGCTTTCTTGGAGGATTTCTCGGGAAACATTAAGAGGAAGGTCATCTGAATCTAACACACCTTTTACAAAGCTCAAGTACCGTGGAAACTGCACAACAAACAATGAGATTGAAGATTTACCTTAAAATACCCTAGATGGATCATAGGAGAAAGTAGCATTGAATGGCACAGACGTCACGTGCATTAGATATTATAGTGATTTCATCTATGAAGATGGCATCTCAAGACAGGCAAACTTCCATGACATGCAATTAAAAGCATCTACACTTCCAGATAAACCATCGTTCCATAAAATTATAGCTAGTAGTTGGATAGTTAAATGCCTACATTGCTGAGTAATATCCAAGCAATGATTCATCTTCCTAGCATGCACAATCACAGTCATATATAAGCAAACATGTCGCATTATTCTTTTTTTTAAAAAAAATAAATCAACATATAAAATTATTATAAAGACATCAATGTCATTAAATTCACTAGTTTAATTGATTGCAATTATTTAATAACCACAAGCATTTCCCAATTCAACAAACTGCCAAATACTAAATTCCAGGACATGATGAGATTTTCCAGATGTAAGCTCTACATAGTAAAAGACTAACTCAATTAAATAAGAATGCTAAGAACCAAGACAGGACTATAACAAAACAGAAGTGCAGGTCAGCAATGCTCCTAGAATCAGACACCAGTAAGCATGTCAATTTCAGAATTCAGTTCAATTAGGAATTTTTCTGAATTCAAGATTTCCCTTCCACAGTTTACATTAGTTCGATGTAAATGAGGAGTTTGATGCTAGCATGTAGCATTAGATTGAAGAGGCATCTGCTTCAAGAAGCGCAATATCAGATACTCTCAATTTGCTTTGAAAGAGAATTCAATGATTTAAAATTCTTTGTCTTATCTTATATTGATCAGGTGTCAGCTTCTAAAAGCAAAATATCGGGTGCTTTCAATTTGCTTTGAAAAAGAATTGAATGACTTAAACTTCTGTCTTATGCTCTGCTTTCTTGTCTCACAAGCCAGGCCAGATCAATGCAATTCAACGTGTAAACCACTCTATTTTGAAGGAATAATAGGATTTTGTTATACATATGCAACAATATAATGCTCCTGACTCAGAAAAAAATGAGTCACGAAACAATAAATAACCAAAGGAAGCATAATACATGAGAATTTAACAGCAGAAGCAAAAATGTCATTATATGAAAGATAAAATTCCTCCAAAGCCTCTACAGTAAACTTACCAGCTCACCATCAAAATCATCTGATATAAACACACGCTTCACATACAGGCGTATATTCTTTGTTTTAGGATTTATTACTTCTTCATTGTTAGAGGGCCCATACCCGGCACATAGAGAATACTTCTAAACTCAACCTCACCCTGCAAAGATTTAAAATCTTGTTAAATAACTCCTTAGAACTTGATCTGTTTGAGGATAGCCACAATCATCATCCTACCTCAGTAGTGAAGTGAGTATATGCAAGTGGTTCTACAAACTCATTGAAAGTCTTCTTGTAGAATTCATGATACTCATCCTTTTGAAGATCCTTTGGATTCCGCATCTATAAACAGTGGCAAAAGGTGATCAATAAGAGATGCACTATAACTAGAGGAAAAGAAAAATGTCCTAAGGACTCGCAGAAAATATAGCACAAACTCACCCACAGTGGCTTTGTTTCATTGGTTAATTCCCAGTCCCAATACTTCTCAGTTTTAGTCTTCTTTACCTTCTTTTTCTCAGCCTGGTAACAAGAGCAGCAACAGATTTGGTGATGCATGAGAAAAGCAAGCACAATGCCTGCATAAACAAAAAAAACTGCAATAATTACCTCAGGTTGAGGTTCTTCCCCTTCTTTTGGTTCTTCCTCTTCTTCCACCTGTTAATTTCGAATTAATAAATTCTGACAAAGAAAAGCTAATCAAGTTGCCACTCCTTAAAAACATATATCTCAGAAACCGAGTGTCTATTCAATTGGAAGGAGATAACTTACAAAAAGGGAGAAACGATCACCCCCTTTATTCATAAGTGTAAACAAATTTCTAAAAGAAACATTCTTCTAATATCACAGTCACATATCCTTGACTCCAATACCAACCATATCCAAGTTCTCATTACCCTACACATTCAACATCAATCTAGCCTGATCCTCAGTGACCTCCTAGAGGAGGTCAGCAGGTAGTAACAGGTTACACGAGGATCCAAACAACTGTCTAATGGAAACCATGACTAAATTATGAACTTTACAAGAAAATGATGCTCCTTGATAGCCTTCATTTAAAAAAAAAAAAAAACATAATACTAGCTATAAAATGGAGACAAAATCTTATGGTTAATGATTTTTTACCATCACCGCTGCTGGAAATCACTCCCAATATTCCAATAAGTACATCATTCATGCTTTACAAAGGACAAGAAACTAACTGCTGCAAGATGACTTCCATTCATTAAAAAATAAAGAACTTAGTGTATGATATGTGCTATGCCACATATAATGAAAAATTATATCCAGACCAGCAAGATAACAGAAATATGTGACAATAGAAAGAAGCACACTTACCTCCACAGTTCGTGATTTTTCTTGCCATGTATAGATGGGGAAGGAAACAAACTGAGAGTAATTCTTCACCAAATTCTGAATCTGGTTGGCTCTGAGAATTCATATTTGTCATCTGCCTGCACCAGAGAATAAGAATTTCAAAGTATTCAGCATCATTATAGACTACATTAAAAATACTATCTTACAGGATTACTACTAAAAACATGTTCACCCATTCATTAGAGAGTATATAAACACAACTACAGCGCAGAGAAAAAATTGTTCTAAATTCATGATAAGCTACCTTTCAGAAGAATATAAGATCCCCCCGCTACATATATTTGCATTAGATTCAACTTTACAACATACGCAACAAGTTAGATGCTGCATACATTAGGATGT